GTTACCCGTCCTAACCTTACATATTGTGACAACATGAGTACTATTCATATTGCCCACAACTCGATGGAACATGATATGCATGTTTTTTTGTTAGCCCCACGTGAGAGCTCAAGTCCCACATGAGAAAGTGTAAATAGAGCTTGCATCCCACGTCAAATGATTAATACCACCCAAGGTTGGTTAATATGCTTAAGGGACTTCTACACTTATAACCAATTAGTTTTAGGTTAGACGCTCTAACAGGACTAAACTATCCCTAATGGTAAAATGTGAAAAATCTATAGTATTAATAAAAGTACTTTAATATGAAAAATTTTTGATTCTCAAATATGCCCTTGATTATTATTGCAAAGTCCATTTAATCCCTAATCCAATAATTAGCGTAATTATAATCAATTAAAGTTTTTTACCCTGTTTATTTGGGGACTAAATTTCTAACTGATGTATGGATCAATTATCAATTAAACTTGAATCACTTTATACACACTTCAAATTCTAAGAATTAATTTCCAACCAACTAGACCTCTTTATATTCCCTATTCTTTCACACCACAAATCGATAGACTCTATGAATTATTTTCCATCAATGATCAATGTATTATATATTAACTAGAGACCTTCTATTCAAGCATTAATATTTGGCTTCCTCTACAGGATGGTAGACAAGGTGAATGGGTCTCTCTTCTAAAATCCTCTAGTTTCATTTGCACAATATGATCTATCTTATATGTATGCATGTTTGTATTCTGATTTTTCTTTTTTGTGTATATACAAATATATAACTAAGGTGCTTTTTTATTTCAAATGTGACCGACTTCATCTATGCAGGCACTGCTAAGAGCATTATCTAATATAGAGCACAAATGAAATCAAAAAATGTAGTAGCAATAACAAAAAAGTATGTACCCTAAATTGTTTTTGAATTGAAGTATACACTTCATTGTTTATTTTATTTTATTTTATATTTTTTATTCTAAGAATAGTTTTCTATGTTTGTATGTACGCTATGTGTTGAGTTTAGGGTTAAGAATTAATCTACTTCATTTGATATTTAATGTGTGGTTTTGTTCTTTCAATGTAAAGATTTGGATATAAAAAGGCTTTGATTGAAGATTGTGCTTCTATCACATTAATCGAGTGTTCAATAGGAGCAATCAATGGATATCTTCAAGTCAAAAATAATCTTAAAGTGGTATTGTTATCTCATATTCAACTACAAAACTCATCTCTATTTCTTTAACTTTTTTCACCACACCTTCGTTTGGGGTGATCAGGGTATTTTCTCTCAAACATCACACAAATGGTGACACAACTCATTGATTTTACTTTGCACAATATTTTGATCATACATAGGAGTAAAGAATGCATTAGTTGATATTCATGTTAATACATATAAACAAAGGGACACTACCTTTTACATATTTGTGTTGATTAATTTTTAATTTTATCTTTAATTAATAATACAAAATTAATCATAAATTTTTCTATATCTTTAAAATGATTAAATATAATAGGTTAATAGTTACTGCCATCATAGTTATTCGTATAGTACGATACGCGATACGTATCGTACGATACGTTACGATACACCTGAAAAACGATACTTATTGTGTCTCTGTATCATTTTTGCACCGTATCATACGATACAATGAGCCCGATACATGGCGTTTCTGTTTTTTTTTTTTTTTTTTTTAAGATTGAAATGACATCGTTTTACCCTAAGACTTATTTTTAAATCAATAGCTAGTGAAACAACATCGTTTCAATGGTTATGGTTTAACAAAAAAAAAAATTCACTTTTAATATTGTTCGATTGAATTCAAAATTCCTGATTAATATTGAGGTTGTTCAAGTAGTTGGTACTAAAAGTTTGAATTAGAGGTCTTTGCATTTTGATATTACTAAACTATGTTGAGAACTTGAATAGTCGGTGAAATATTAATGAGATGCTATATTATTATAAGTTTATAACTTTTTTACAAAGGTACATACATATATTTTATTAATAATTATTTAACAATTAAAATTGCGTGTATCTTACGATACACAATACGAGAAGATACACTATTTTTAAAAAACGATACGTCTTCTGATACACAATTTGACAATTATGATCAATAAGGAGAACATAGAAAGTTCTTATACAATAGGAGGTTTTCCTTCCTATTGAAATAGATTACACATATAAAACCAATAGTTTTGCCACTAATTAGCCCATATGTTGTAATGGTGGTAGTTAATTTATGATCCTAATATTTTATTAAGACTCTAAAGTAATGTCCGTAATAACTATAAATAGATATTGGCTATATTTTATATTTTATCATATTGTTTGCCTTTTAAGTCCAATTTATTATTTTAGCATTTTTTTTTCTGTTGAAGGGAAGAAGCGTTCTAATAGAATATGAATCTTGGTCATTCCACTGTTTATGTTTATTGAAGTTATGGATTTCGCAAGAAGAAAAGTAATCAACAACTTTAATATTTAACATTTTATACGCAAAATGGTATACATGCAATGCACGTTGGCAACAACTAGTACTCTAAAACACAGATTGTGGCCATTAGAAAGGACATTTGCTGTAAGCATGACTCAACGAAGAGAAAACAGGAGAAGACAAATCCAACTAGACAAAACCAGGTAGTTCGGACTAGACAACCTAAATTTGGAAGAACAAACTTTTAAACATCACAGACACAGAACCTTGTTCCACCAATCATGAAATTGAACTTCCACAACAAGCCAACAAGTATGAACCTGACGTTTGTATGAAAGACAAGATATGAAAGGAATAGGTCTCCTGAATGCTTTCAAAAAAAGACCACCAGATCCATGCATCTTTGAAGAGAAACCACAGAAGCTTGAAGCCCTTTAAAGAAGAAGCAAAACTTTAAATGGTGGAATGTCAAGAGCAAGGTCACAGTTTGAATCTTAGTGCCAGAATTTAAGTTCAACTTGGGACTGGTATATTTGCGTTAATATTCCAACTACTTGAATTCAACAATGTTACCAAGGAAAGGAGTTTTCGTTAGTTCAACTAATCTTAATCAGTAAGATGGTTCATTTGGCAGTCTGAATTATCCACTGTCTGGCATCCTTTAATTTTTTAAATGTATTGGCTAAAAGGAATTTCATGACCTTTCTAGAGATTTGTTCTTATAACTGGACTCCATGTGTGGCAGTGCAGAATAATTTCCCATTTGACAATCAATAGGCGATAAAAATAGCACCCAGTTTAGTCCCGTCAATGAGAATTAAGAAATTGCATAACTGAAAAACAAGTTGAGAGATGAAACATGCACTACTAAAAACTTATGAAGGGGATCCTGCAAAAGATTTGAATACGGTGGATGAGAGTGTGGATGAGTCCGGAACCAGAGTAAATAATTTGCATCAATGGTATGTAGAAAACCTATTCGATGTTTCCACTAGAGCTGAAATATTGATCATAACTATAAAGTAACTAATAATGCAGACTGCAGCTTTTTATTCTCACTAGCACTCTGAAAACCACCACAAATTCAGCACTCAATTCCAAATAAAAGATCTAGTATGGAAAGTACCTTAAAAACAGAGCAGTGATGCCAAAAACACAAGGCAATGAAGGGGCAGCAATAGCCAGAAATGCCATCCCTACCCCATAATACCATGTAGCAACGTCGCAAGACAGATGACGCTGATGACCTACAATGTCAATATGAAATATTATTTCCTGTCACTGCAAAAATTATTTATTTTGGTGCCATTAAGAGATGACATGCACATCAAACTTTTTATGTGCTTCAAGATAACAAACCTTTTCCGGAATCATAATCCAAAGTTCCAGGGCGAGAAGAAGATGATCCTACTTGATTTCCCACCAGCTTTCCCCATTTATAGATCAAATGCAGGTAACACCCAAACAATAGGAAGAAAATGGTGAATGTCCACTCGTACATCAAGAGCATACCAGTCCATGGCATTACTTGCCGAGGGACAACTGAGAGTGCAAGTGCAAGGGACACCACAGCAGCCATAAAACAGACAAAGATGGATATCCCTCCCAGAAAAACAGGCACCTTGGATTGCGCACTATTTGAAAACTGTTAAATACCACAACAAATGAGGCAGTGGTACAACTATATTACTGCACATAAAAAAAGCATCATGAGTAGTTCTAACGGTATCTATTGGCTGAACTTGCAGATGGACGTAGCATGGATTGAAAAAAAAAATTGACCATTCAATTTAATAGAAGCAAAGGAAAATAGGCAATAATAACATCCTGTTTACACGAAAAAGATGAGAAAATTAACCTGCTGATTAGAATTAATGGTAGCAGAAGAAACTGCTGAGTATGCAATAGCACCACCAGATCTGAATTTGTAGTAAAGGTGTCTAATATGGCCGCACATAGAACGTGTCTGCAACAGCAATGAAAATGCTTTCATATCCAAAAAATACAGGTATCTGGTGTTCAATAAATGACCTGATGTTGAAAACGCTAACCTGAAGAAAAGTCCGATAGTAACAGAAAAGCAGAACAAACAAGGGGAGCACAAAAAGAAATTTAACTAAAAGTTCGTCATTAGGATTTCTGCCCCCTCCAGTTCCAGGGAGAGAGTCCTCAAGCTGTACCCGAACATTCTGCAACATAAGCAAGCATATAGTAAGTCATATAATTGTAGTGGACTTGTTAAGCCTGCTCAACTGTAAAAATCAATTTGGAGCATAAATCCAAATGTCAAATAAAAAAAAATGCAAAAAGAGAAGAAAAACAAAAAAAGGAGGGCTGAAGAAATGGAAGTAAAATAAATATGATAATTTAGTCAGAAGGCAGCAAATTGCATTTACAACATGGTTATGGATTTAAAAGCAGATACCTGCCAGACATCAACGGGTTTCAAAAGCCAAGATGTCCACCAATCCCACGGTTTAAGGGGGCCAAGTGTATAATGAATAACATGGAGTTGTTCCTCATCCACCATCCACTGCATAAATAATACATGATAAAATCAGAAAATGGAATAAAAAATGAGAGGTGTGTTTAAATCACATCTCAAAAAACAGTATCTGAAAACAATTTTTAGAAAGAGCTTTGAGAAAGTGTAATATCACAACCCGTTTGATTATATATTTTTGAAAATAGTTTTAAAGAACAGAAAATGATAAAACATGTTTGGACAATCATCCACAAAAGCCCCACCCCAATTTTTATCTTATCACTTCTGCTCCTCTCTCCAGTCCTGTCTCTCTGTCTTTCCCTTCTCTCTCTCTCTCTCTCTCCATTATCTTCTCACACCCAGACACACAGAGCAAACACAGCCATTGCACACAGCAAACACACAGGACACATATACACACACCCCCACACACTCGCACAGTACACACACATCGCACAATATATACACACACAGAGACCTAAGTTCAGATCTGTATATATACATGGATCTGTGCATATAAATAGATCTGCCAGAGAGAGACAGATGAGTTGCAAGAGAGATGGCGTCTGCTAATTTGTGGTGTTTCCCGTCGCTGGAGCTAAAGCTTTGACTTGATGGAGGTGCTTCTTCAGTTGTGTGTGTGTGTGTGTGAGTGAGAGCTATTGAAGGAGACAATAGCATCTGGCTTGGAGGAAAAAAAAGGCCTTTTATATGAGGAGATTTAATGAACAATGCTTTAGTCTCCATGTTTTCACATTAAAAACAAGCCCAGCTTGTTTTTATTTTTTTGTTCTCTACTTTCCACCTTTTCCCGCAAACTGGAGAACCGAAAAACAAACCAATTAGCTTTCTCCTTGATTTTATAATTTTGAGAACAAAAAACTATTTTGTAAAACCAAACCAAACATGCCCTAAGATTCTAGTTGTATATCATTTTGAGTGAACCGTTTTGCTACAAAACAACAACGGTGCATGCAGCTATCATTTTACTTTCAGCTTATATTCTAGAAAATGTCACTAAAAAAAACATGTGCATTTCCAATGATTGATTGTACCCACAAACCAAACATGAGCTTCTTTCTATTGAGACATTTTTAGTTCAAGACAGATTGAGGTCAGTGTTGTAACTTAAGAGAGAGATAAGTGTAATGTCAAAAATTCACCAATAAAATAGATGAATAAACTTACCTACCCCAACAGCTTCCCCTGTTTCATGGTTCAATCTTCTGCCCCTCTATTTACACAAAAAAAATTCTTCTGCCCCTAGTTCTTCACAAGCATCCTTGTTGAATATACCTGACTATTTTCGTCAATCTCTCTACTTGCTCCTTATCAACCAGTTTTTCAATCATCATGCAGGTTTTTTATTTTATTAAAATTGTTAAACAACCATCTACTCCAAAAGCTTACATTGTTGGAAAAAGTGTAACTTAAGTATTTATACTTCAACACGCCCTCTCATATACAATCTAGATTTTTGGATTAGCACATGAAAATATTTTAATCTTTTGCAGTAGATGGTTGTTTAGCATGATATCAAGAGGTCATGTGCTTGAGTCTCGCCCCCATCTATTCGAGTGGGTATAACCTAAGTATTTATATTTTAATAAAAGCATTACTACATTGGGCTAATTTACATATCTAGAAGGTTTTCTTTTCACAAATCATGGATAACATACGTCGACGCACATTCAAGCATCACACTTTTGAGCACACACAAAGTAACACACAAAACACAACCTTAAAAGTCTAAACCCAAACCCATTCTCCCAATGGCCCAACTATTGGCGGGAGATGAAGATTTATGTGGCTCTTTGTTATGAAACAACCCATCAATGTGGCCCTAATTTGCTTCTTTTTTTTTTTCTAAATCATGCAGAGTAGTATGGGCATGGCTTAAGAAGTCTAAGACCCATACTCATTCACATCGCACACATAAGGATGCATGAATCAAAGATAACATACATACTTACAGAAATTCAAATAGAAAAAGTAGAAGTATAGTGATAAACCCAAAACAGAACATGTGATGCTGCTGTAAGTTGTAACCATACATAAAGTTCCACTAATAAAGAAAATTTGTTAAAAAAGGAATACCAACTGAAATGGAGTTACCACAGATCAGAAAAAAATAAATACACAGCCACTTTCCAGTTTCATATGTTGCATCTTTATGAAACAAAATTCATAATGGCACACATCTCCATATATGGGAAATTTAATCCATTAAGTTATGGTTCAATCTTGAGCACTAAGGAACTCATGTAAGAGTTGTGCCTAAGTACTAATAGTTAAGGTGGGAATAAGATGCAAGTAAAGACTACCCAACATTTTTAAGGAAACACAAATTTAAATCAGACAAATTCTGCCCTGATTAGGAGAAGCAAAGAACTATTACACAGCCACAAAGAAGCACAGGTAAACTTCCTAAATGGAACCAGAAAGTGTCATACAGCATCATAGATGCAACATGAATCATTGTCATTGATTAAGAAGAATCATAAAGTGAGTGGAAGTAAGGTAACAGATGTGGTAGGCCAAGTGCACAAACCCAATCTCCATTTTCAAGAAAGGCAAAGAGCTTGCATCCATAAATGAGTTTCAAGTGTTGAGGAATATGATTACTATTCAATCCTGAGGTCCACATGTTTAATTTACTTATCACCAACAATTACTTTCCTATCCTGACATTTCCACAAAAGCACTGACTCTATAACTGAACATCATACAATTATCATAATCTAATCTTATTGACATAGTTAGATAAAGTGCAAAAGTAGGATTTTGAATTATTATCAAATATTGAATCTTTACATAAAATGGTCTTTCAGTTGACATCATATTGTCACTTATTACATAAGAAATTTTGGTCGGAACTTTCATAGGTAACTGCCAAGCCAGTACCTTTTCCAGTTTGACAAAGTTATTTTGTTCTTTTGGCGAGCGCATTGGGAAGATGGACACCCAACGCACTACAGAAGATTTCCTGGAACTAATATATCATCAATATTTCAATATCTAAGCATTCCCATGCATAAGATCGGCAAAATTTATTTAGCCAGCCCATAACTCTTTAAAACAAAAATCTTATCTGTAGGGATAGAAAAAGGAACTCTGGAACCAAGGCTTTCGTAAATGAAGACTATACACTAACATTGAGGATATCTGAAAATGCAGGCATCGGAGGATTCACTGAGTGGTTCTTTTTCTTGTTCTTTTTTTCCTCAAAATCATTACTGTTAAGTTTGACATGAAGAATGGCTAAATTTTTCCATCTCCAATAATAACAAGCGATTGTAACCGTTAAATGTATTAGATAAGCTAATAATAAAATAAAGAATTTCAAAAGTTGATATTTAGTGCTGACACTGCATGATGTTGCGAATAATAGCTCTGGACTTGGGCACAATCCTGACCTCTGCCACTATATACACAAATTGCTATCTCAGCCTTGAGACACATTTTCACCCTTAAATGTATTACATTTTCACCCTTAACAAACGGTTGTAACCGTTGCACTAGCCCATTGCTCCAACTAAACATAGTTAACCAGTTATTTCCCAAGATATCCAAGAAGCCTTCAATCCAAAAACCAGTCTAGATCTTTTAATTTATCGCAGACTACAAGCTTAAATTTTGCTTAACATGAAAATGCACTGCTGCAAATTGCATGCATGAGAAATGACCCTCAATTGTATATTCTGTGCAAGGTTCATCTTTCAACGGCATGTGATTTCTCAATCTCACTTTACCAATTTTGCATTCATCCGCCAATGTATCTTTATGGTCTCTTTGTTTGTCGAAAGGAGAAAAAGCAATGGGAATTAAGCTATTTGACTTATTTCCCTAATCATAGTGTCGACCAACTCTCCACAGAAGTAATTTGTTTAAAAGACGATGCAGATAACAAAGAAAGCAAATTCGGCACAAAAATAATTACATTAAGCCCATTCTTTAATAACCTCCATCCCATGGTTCTAGGGGAGTTAAAATGCTAAATAGTAGACTCGGATGATAAAGTAGTCTTATCAGTTTACTATCTCATATGTAGGCCATTGGCCTATATTTGGAAGCTGATTAAAAAAATAAGTGCTCAATTGGTATTAATGCCAAAAAAGGCTTATGAGAGTGTTTTTGGAATTGTTTTTTGTCCCCCTCCCCCCCATCCTTTTCTTCCAAAAAATAAATCCCCACGTCAAAATGGGGAAAAAAGAAAGAAGGGACTTGTAAATGTAGCCATTGCAGGGGCTTCCAACAGAAAATTTTCCCTTACAAGGTCATCAAAAGGATCAGGATAAGGAAAAAAAAAAACTGAAGAAAATGAGAAAAATATGCACCCTCCAAAAGAAAGAAAAAGGTGGAAAATAATTGTTTGGTTTGTCAATATTTTTTGTAAACTCTTTTTCTTTCACTATCACTACGTAGAGCTTCGCCTGTCATCAATTTCGTTGTTTTGCCTCTTATCTATCTATCTATTTGTGGCCCTTCTGTTATCTTTTCTCTTTCTCTCGTACCCTTTCATGCAAATAGATTGGATCTTAGCCTAAATAATTGAACTTTAAAAAATATCGAAGTCCAACACTAAGTACATTTAGAGGGGAAAAATTCACAATGATACACAAATGTTAAGTATCCATGCCATATTACAGAAAAAGGGGCCAGAAATTATGTAAGTGGTACAAGCATAGTTGAAAACCTATTAGAACCCCAGGAATTGGTACCTTGTTTGCGAGCATGTAAAGGCCAACATCTGCATTATAAAGAGTCGAAAGTCTCTCCATTTCGGGAACTGGTCTAGAATGTAAAGTGTCAGGTGACAAGTCTGGTTCAAAAACATGCGCATTGGCAAACCCTGTATAATAGGAGTTCAGAAACCCTTGATCACCTGTGGAGAAAAAGAAAAATCGAGCTGAGAGACAGAGATACTGTTGTTATGAATAAGAAAGCTTGGCTATTGAAAGTTTAATTTTTCCAAAGGAAACCAGTATATAACACTTAAACAATAGGAATGAAAACAGGGAGGAACCTATACATCAAGAACACCATTCAGTACATTTTTCCATGTTGACAAATAGATACACAAAGGCATATCAAAACTGTCTCGCATCCCATTTTATATTACACGATAAGTTTTCTTTAAAACTTCATTTCCTTTAATGTTTTGGTTAAATAATAAATCGTAATACTTGGTGCAGCAATGTATTCTATCCTTTGAACAATGAAAGTCCATAACAAACTTGCACAAAGAAATCCCAAAAGAAAGCCTTATTTCGCGAGTTTTGACTGGTTTTTCTTTTTACTCAACTAAAAAAGACAGAGAGACATAGATCGAGATGAAATCATTCACTCCTCACTTTTGAATGCTCAATGAAATGGATTTCAAAATCTTCTCCGGAAGCTTGAAAGCAGACAAGCAATAGGTGTGAAGGCTTGCAAGCCCAAAGGAGATGAGCTCCATTCTTCCAGCATATGACAGCGGCACTAAAGAATAAACTGGAATAACTCAGAAAGAGAGTGGTGGAGCCTAGCCGTTGAGAGCTTTTGTTGTCTTTGTAGAGGAAAAGTACAATCTTGGACTGGCCCACTTCGCATGACCTAGAAAGGAAACGAAGTTTGTGCTTGAGGCAAAGGGTGTCCTAGAATTTTTTTTCCTTCTAAAACAAGATTTTTTGCTTATTTATTAAGAGACATTTGACTTTCCCATATAGTAATATTCTTCCTTTAGTGAATTTCAGGTGTCTCCCATTGTCTATATTAAAAAGAAATGCAGGCCTCGCACATCCTGTCTTCGATCATGCATATAAATAATCAATCTTTCTATATATATATCTTCATCAATCATGTCAACTGCCACCAGTACCTCAAAATGAGGAAGAAAAAGATATCGTGACGTAAGTCTATTATTTCGGGCATCATAGGTGTTGTTGCATCACAAGGAGCAATTGGGAGGAATAGCTATTCTAGAACAATCATTTGTTTTGATTCATTCTTTGACTACTCTGCTCTCCCCAAAAAAAGAGAGATTTGTTCTTGAAATTTCTGGTTGGCTAGGTCCGGAGAGTCATGGAAGAGTCGGGCTAAGTAAAATAATATACTGGTGCTATTATAGAATCTTATGAATCACGGACGGCACGTTTTCTATATCTTCTCCGTCTACAAGGTGAACACCTTAGCTTACTGCACAACGTGTTTGGCACCACCTAATCTGCTTATGTGTAAAATAGTGACCCAAAGAGAAAATACCCAATAAATCAAACATTCGTAAGTAGTTGCTAGTGTAAGAAAACAGCAGGCAGTATATAAATTATAATCAATTATTAAAAAGCAAAAACTATATACCTCCAGTATAAGAATGCAAAGTCTTCACTTTACTCATCATATCATTGAAAACTTTTTCAGAAGGTTCCACTACCATGACTCCCGAATTCAATTTTTCTGAATGCTTTAAGTTAGCACAAAACTTCCCACATTTGAATAGATCTTCAATGCTCTTAACTACAATTGTATCAGCATCAAGATATACCACTGCAAGGATTTTGATGAAACAGAAATTTTAGTTCAAATCGTCATACCATGCACCACAACATTTTAAACCTCCATAAGTAACTTGGGACTCAATATTAGTGACAAGTGCAGTTTACTGAGAATGTAATAACTAGTTTACAAGCAACTGGTCCCAAACAAAGAATAAGGCAATGACCTTTCTTGTACTGAGTCATGTTAAATATTTTCAGCTTTGTGTAGACACCCCAAAACCTTTTAGGTCTGACTTGATTAGGGTTTGCCAACAGACTAATATGCTCCACTAGCCAACCATCAGCCTGCACAAACAATAACCAAGACCCATAAGATACCAATTGGTTAAAAAGTAGCACTAAAAAGTAAAACTCGACTCATTTGAAGTAGTAATAACTTTTTTCTAAGTCACAGATAGCTAGCTGTTTAGTTCTTCCTTTTGAAAGCAAAGCAAATTGCCAAAATATTTATCAGCTGTTTACATACACAGTACATGAAAGACCATAACTTGAATAAAGAAAACCTCAGCCATTCACAGGAAAATAAAACTTCCACTTAACTCATTCAGGTAAATTTCACACTCTTTTCTCTAAAGAGAAGATGCAATAAATAATTTTGGCTGCTATGCGAATAAACAGAGGATCAGCAAATAACTTTCCGCCAAAGAAATTCCAAATATAAGCACGAAAAATCCGTAACTAATTACTGGGATTAAAATTCGCTTAATGATCTGACATCCAAAGTCATAAAATTTCTCCCTCCCTCCCTCTCACACACACAAACGTTAACTCGTGCTCAAAGACAGAAGGTCATATTCCTAAATCCATGCATTACTAAGAATATATAAATTTAAATTACAATCTCAAGATAAAAATTTTCTTACCTGTTTTTCTTCCCGGTTGATACTTTATAACTAACCAAAAACTTCTTAATCTTAGAAATCTAGAACACAACATTTGAAATTCTATTTCCCATAATTTTCTTCTGTTCTCCAGTTCTTCCGCGCAGCTGCAGAGCTAAGGGTAGCGAGCTAAAAAGAATCAGATCGTGGATTGGAATACGAGGCCAACAAACCCTTTTAGCTTTTCTCAGAAACCAAACAGAGAGAGAGAGAGAGAGAGAGAGAGAGAGCGTGAATACCTTGAGCAGCTTCTTGGCGTAGTGTGAGACACCGTCAGAAACCAAAACCACCCTGTCCTTGGTGGACTGGGTGTCGCGAATCGACTTTCCGAGAACGCGAACGCCGAGTAAGAACTCATCGCCGTACAAAAGGGTCACGTATGCTTGGTCAGAGGACTGAGATCCCAAAGCTCCATCACAAGTTGTGCTCTGAAACAATACAAATAGAATACAAAAAACAAACCATTTTTTCAAAAAACCCAATTTCATCGTATTCCCACACAATTCAACAGATCATGGCGGTGTAGGATCGAAATTTAGAGACAGACAGAGAGAGAATTGGAATTTCGCCAGGAAAGCAAAATTTCAGAGAGAAAATTGAAAAAGAAAGAGATGGGATTTAGAGTTATATATTTTTGGGATGATTAAAAGGGTTTAGAAGACAGGAAGATTTGGGAAAGAGAGGAAAGGATTGACGGGGTTTGAAAAAGCTTTTGAATATTCTTCTTCTTCCACTACAATGCCATCTTGGTCTTTGTTGTCGTCTGTGTTGGCATATGAACTTGTCGAACGTCGGACGCGTCAGCCGTTGTTCAAATGTTAACCTGGATCAGGATCTGGATCCGTGACCCATCATACCTACCGATCCCAAATCTAGGAGAGATTTGGTGTACTCTCCCATTATTAATCGATAGTAGAGATAATAAGGAAGAATTACACTATAATCTTTAAAATTTATCACTTAATCACTCAAATTTCTTAATATTTAAAATATTATATACAGACCTTTTAAAATTTTTACACATTCAATACTTAGGCCTCTGCCGTCAAATGTATGTTAGTATATTCATTATTAAATTACACTTAAATCCCTTAAAATTTGTAGGTCCATAATACTTAGACACTTCAAGTCTAATATATTATGCTTAAATCAAAAATACTCCGATCAAAAATAGAATATTTGATATTTTAATTTTTTAATCAAAATTCATGTTCTATTGTATCATTTATTAAAATAAAATCAAAAATATAAAATTAATTTTTCTTAAAAAATTATAATTAGTATATAATTAAACTATCTATTGAAATAAAACTAAAAAATCAAACAAGGAGTCTAGTCATTCATAATAGAACATGAATTTTACAACCAAAATATATGCTTTATTATGTTATTTATTGAAATAAAATCAAAAATAAAAACCTAATTTTTTTCTTAAAAAATTATAATTAGCGTACAATTATACTATCTATTAGAATAAAATTAAAAAATTAAACAAGGGATCAAATTGTAATAGACACAATATGTTCTAATTTTAATTGAGGTAATTTGGCAGGTTAATTTGGTCATTTAAATGACCAAATTAAATTCTAATAGATAATATACAATTATACTAAAAAAATAGATTTTTATTTTAATAAATATTATAATATAACATGAATTTTGGTTGTAAAATTTAAAATATTTGATATTATATCTTTGATTAGAGTATTTTTTATCTAAGTATAACATTTTAAACTTGAGGGGTGTAAGTATTATATGTCTACATACTTCAAAGAATCTGTATATAATTTATTAACAGATATTCTAATGAACGTTGACGGCGAAGGTCTAACTATTATGTGCATATAAACCTCGAGAGATTTGTATATAACATTTCAAATATCAGGAGTTTGAGTAATTAAATAACAAACCTAAGAGAGTCTGAGTTCAATTCTCCTTTAATTAAAAGTTTATTACTATTGTTCTATTCCATGTGTTCATTTATTTAACCAATTAAAACTTTTATTTTAAGGTAAATTTTACTGACATCCCTCGAGATTCACCTAATTGCTAGGATGGTCCTTATAGTTTTTAAAATATCACTAAACTTCCTTATAATTTATCATGAGTTTCACATAGTATCCATATAGTCTTGTTGTTACTGACATCTAAAATAATTAGTGGTGTCATGAAATGTATTAAAATGAACTACTAATTTTACTCTCAAGTTGACTCTTCAATTTTATTAATCAATCAAAATTTAATTTCATTAATTCAAATATTAATTTCATCACACTAACATTAATTTCATCAATTTAACTCTAAATTAATTTTTAATTTCATCAAATTAAAAATTAAATTTTGTCAAATTAATATTCAATTTATTTAATTTAAAATTTAGTTTCATCAAATTGAACTTTAATTTCATCAAATTGAAATTTAATGTCATTAATTTAATATTAATTTTATCACACTAACACTAATTTCATCAATTTAACATCAAATTAATATTTTAAAATTTAATTTTTTTCAAATTAAAGTCAAATTAATATAAGAGTCGCATGTTTATTTAATTTAATTACAACATAAGACTATGGAATAAAGGGATGGATATGAAAAGAGAATTTCATTTCTAGTTGTCTATTTATTTAATTTAATTTTGTATTGAGAATTGAATTTAATGAAAAAAGTATGAGAGTCTTTCTTTTTTCTGAGAGATAAAAATAATTCGACCTGTGAAAAGATAGACGCTAAAATTTTTAACTTTTTTAAAGGAAAAAGAGATATAACAAAGAAGGCACTAAAATAAAATAAAATAAAAAGGGTAAATATAAGTACGCAAATTGATAAAATTTGGAGCTAAGATTATTGAAATTTATTTTACAAATTTTGTTGAGTATGTTACATCAAGTTTTCCTAGTGTTTAAATTCCCAAAAAAAAATAAAAAAAATGGTGTAATTTTTGTACATATTGTAGCAATCAAATTAGAGGGCGATGACCGAGGAAGTCTTTCATCTTCATTTTCTTAATTCTCATATTTTTTATTATTAATAGAAATAATATTGGTTTTCTCTAATTAAATCTTCCCATTTGGCCTATATGTAAGATGTCTACTCCCAAAAATTTTATTAATCATATAACGACCCCTTAACATTCGTAAAATAGGACCAGAACCCGTTTTACCTAACAGATGTTAGTAAAGGGAATGATAAAGGTCTCATTGTCATTAAAAGAATTCAAATATCCTAGGAATGCCTTTCCAGAACATGTCTAATATTTGTAAAACGATGTTGTCTCAAAATTAAAAGCAATTTTGTCCCATACAAATTACTTCAACAATTAAGTAAGTTAGCCAACTAATAATTTTCACAAATTCAACTCGGACTTTCTCTTGAGATTACTCAGCTTCTCAACATTGACCATGCTGACAGTTGCATTCTTCTGGAATGGATTGTTGTCAACACCCATGTCCTCTTTTGACCTCTCTCTGTAGACCATCGTTTTTTTTGTAGATGTATCCATGTATTGTAGTACAAAAGATTTGACCAAAAAAAAAAATAGTACAAAAGATGACACATAAATATAATAAAATAGCTTGCAATTTAAATATCAAAAGATAAACAAAATGACTTTTGCTATTTGCAATTGAGATCGTTTTGAATTTTACTTTAAAGTTAATCTAACGGTAAATATTAACACCATAAATTTAATAGGAAAAATAGGCCCCTAAAGGTGTGTTTGGAGTGACTTTTTAAAAGTACTTCTAAAAATTATTTCTCGTAAATACTTTTAAAAAAAATAGTGTTTGAAACTACCCCACCACTACCTCTACCACCACCGTCGCCACCACTACCACCGTCACTGCCGACATCACCACCACCTTCGCCATCGCCGTTGCCGTCTCCGTCAACTCCGCCACCACCACCACCATTGCCATCATCATCGTCGCCGTCGCCGCCGTCACCACCACCACCGCCACCGCCACCATCACAGTCGTCGTCGCCGCCGCCACCACCATCCTCGCCACCACCATAGTCATTGCCACCCACCACAACCATCTCCGTCTCCTACCACCGCTACTACTGCTCACCACCTCTCACCCCCACTACAAACCAATGCTTAAATTTTTTTATATCTTCTCTATGTTTATTATTTGATTTTGGATATAAATACAAATATATTTACTGTTTATCATTTTTATTATTCAGTGTCTTCAGACACAAGTAATAACTATTGTATCTTATATACTATACTATTAATAAAAAGAAGTTAATAAGAATTTTTTGTGATTTTTTATTCTACCTCACTTTAACTCTTAGACTTTTTCCTTTCTATGAATAAATATTTACAATTACAAGTGAAATGAATATACAATATTACCTATAAGAAGACTTTTTATATCCATAACTCTCATTTTTTCAAACAGATTTTTAAATTAGTCAAATCACGATCATGGTATAAGTTGAGATTTACAATAAACTTTAAGAAATTAGTCAATTACAAATGTATATCTAACACATACATTTTTCTACGTTTGGAGGTGTGCTTACCCTTTTTGTTGCCCCATAAGATTTGCTCATAGCTAGTGGCCCTAGTTGCCAACTCAAACATGTCATTAAACTACATTCCTTCGAATTTTTTGTGGAGTTTCAATTTGAGCCCATTTTAGGAAAACATAATATACTATTTTAGGCAAGGTAAGTCTGCATAGTGCACAACCATTTCTCTAGACCTCTAATTTTGTGAAGTCTATTGTAAATCTCCACATTTTCTATGGTTATGATGCTATCAAGTTAAAGATCTAAAAACATTATTGAAGCGAGGAAATTAAGTGTCAAAACAACATCATTCAAACTTCATATGCACCTTCATATTAGGACAAAGGTAATGACCTAGAAACCTTAGATGAACCCCTAGTTATTTTAAGTTATGATGTTTAGGATTAAATGGAATTGGAAGCGATCCGTGTAGGGAGATTTACAATACCCATTAGTGCTCAAGAGACCAAATTTGTTGTTTGGTTTTAAGCTTAAAAAACTAGTAGGGACCACCCTATGCTTGCTAGTCTTCACTAAAGTGGTCTCTCTATGATTTAGGGAAGAAAATAAAAAAAAGGCCTAGGAGTGGGAACAAGGCGTGCTTTATGAGCTCACTTGAGCAGTCCCTTGACCTTGCTCGAGCTGTCTCATGGTCGCTCGAGTGGTTTGCTCTCCTAATCAAGATTAGAACCTTGTTTTCATTCCAATGCCAACTGTTCTCCCACCGATCGAGCGGTCGTTTGAGAATCTGAGTTTTCTTATTGATTAAGACTACCCTTATTCCGGACCTATAAATAGGAAAAGTCTTTCCCATAGCTAGGTTAAGCCTCTTGTGAGATTTCTAAGAGAAAAAAACTACTTTCTACTTTGAGAGCTTTCACCACTAACTTAGATCCCTATAATCCAAGGC